TTCCATCAACATTTATAAATTATATTCAGTAAATTTGTATTCAAAATAAGTTTCTGTTTATTTAACTATCGATTACGAACACATATTGTAGTGTATTTTAATATAGGTATTGTTTAAACGGTATTACATAATTAGTTTTTAGCATTTGATTGATCAATATTATTGTGGGGCTTGTTTTACTCTTTTTTTAGTGTGCAGTCGGGTATTTTGTTTTTTTAATAATAATTTTTTTCCTTTTTAGTTTTAGTTTTCGTTTTTAATCTTGTATAGTACGCACACCTATATAATTAATTTATTCAAAATCCTAAACGTGAGGACTTGTAATTCGCTCAATGTTACCTACGCCTTTTGTTATTTTTATCCATATTTATAAGCTGTAAGTCCTCCATGAATTATAAATAAATAAATTAATGTTCATATTTAAATGACAACTCAATGGCTGGGTTGGAGCCTTGCTTTTTAAATGTGGGATGTCGTTAACATTTGTTCCCGCTCCTATTACACATTTATTAAGAATGCTGTCAATCTCTTTCGATGCCTCAACAAAATTATCATTTTAAAAAAATATGCTATCTTTGTAAACTCACTTAACAAAAAACAGTACATATAAATGTATCCTAATACTAGCTTCTGCCCGCGACTACGTACGCGCAATCTCAAAAAAAAATTAGGGTTGGACTACCCCTAACACTTAGGGGGATGAAAAATAGATGTTGGCCGATTCTCATAGATACCGGATAAGCACAAATTTTTTTTTCAAAATCGGTCAAGCCGTTTCGGAAGAGTATGGCAACGAAACTGTGACACGAGAATTTTATATATTAGATTATAAACATGAAAGTGTGTGTATGTATGTCTGTCGATCTTTTACGGCCAAACAAAACAAGGTATTAATGTGTTTTTTTAAAGTGGAGATAGTTGAAAGAATGGATGAATGAGAAAATAACGTATAAAGTAAACTTTTTACCACTTTTTGGGAAAATGGGGGACGTTTGTATAGAATAGAGCATTTCGTAATCTTCAAGATAGAAGGGTAAAAATTGCCCCCTTAAAAGAGTGCGAGCGAAGCCGTGGGCAGAAGCTAGTCCATGAATAAAATGAAATTCATGCATATCGTAATAATTTAGTCTTCCCGAGAAATTATGCGAATGGGTGTCCTGCTTCCTTACAGACATCAGCATAAAGGTTGTTGTCGACGGAGAATGCTCCGACTTCTGTCTGTACACGCAGGCGCCGACATTGTTCCTGCTTCATGTCAACGACATGTTGCAAATCAGCGACATCTTTGTTATGTGGATGACAGCACAGGCGATGCCTAGTACACCGGCCGCGGTAACATTTCGCGGGAAAACAGAGAGCCGAAACAGACTCGTGTCTGAAATCTTTAGGGAGAATCTGATTGGAGTGGACTTAATTTGGACCAGTTTAACCCCACTAAGACACAGGTCTGCGTGTTTACCGCTTAACAAACTGCCGTTGGTTGTCTCTCCTCAGTTTCAAAGCACCCCCCTAACTGTCTCAGCCGGTATTGAGATACTTGGTATCAGCATTTCGAGCGGCATCCAGTTTCGCGGTCATCTAGAGGATAAGGCCAAATTAACCTCGAAGAAGCTTGGTGTGCTCAATAGATCGAGGCAGTGTTTCACCCCGGGCGGCTCACCTCTGGCACCCACCGGCTTCTATATAAGGCACAGGTTCGGCCCCACATGGAATACTGTTCTCCTTTGGCCTGCCTCTGGACCGGGTTCAGGGGCGTGCCGTTCGGATCGTTGGATGTCTGGATGTTTCAGCCCGGCTAGACACTTTCTTTGGCAATGCATAGAGATGTAAGTTGTAGCCGGGTTGTGCATTTTCTATCGCTTATACCACGGGACTGCTCTGAGGAATTGTTTGACCTGATACCTGCCGCATCGTTTCGCCATCGACCCTCACGACAGAATATGCATGCCCATCATATAGATGGTTGGCAGGGCACAACTGTGCGCTTCTCACGTAGCTTTCTGCCTTACACAGCAAAACTGTGGAATGATCTGTCGTCGGCGGTATTTCCGAACCGATACGACCTTAACTCGTCGAGTACCGGTTTTGTAGACACAATTATAGAACAATAGGTTGCGGTCACCGGTGACCGCTTGGTGTTTGACAGTTTAAAATTAGTTTAATTATCACTTCCCGAGAGGAATACATCGAGTCACTCTGTGAACAGTTTCGGCCGAAATTCCTTTGAAACCTGTTACTTGAAATAATACGAAGTACCTCAGAGCAAGACAATTTATTTACGTCAAAGCAGACAACCTAATGTTTTGCCGGTAACGAAACCATAGCTTGAATTTAAATCGGCCAACGCCATCTATCGAGCTATGGGACAACACAATAAATAGTAGTATGGCGTTGGCCGAGTGCATCTTTTATAAAGATTATTTCTACACTGAACATTCCGCCCACCAAAAGGAATATATTCCTTTTCGTACCGCCCACCATGAATAAACTTAACAACTAGGAGAACAATGGACTGTATGACAATTATATTACGAATAATAGATATCTAGCGGACGGCTTCTTTTAGCAAACATTGGCGCGGACAGATATGGTTTCAATCAAAACGAATAGACATAAGTACAAAAACGACATTCTTGTTACCGGCAAAAATATCATGTTGACAAAATTCTTACAAAACCAATATAAGTAAACCACTAACTAAACATTGTAATCAATACATAACAGTGCACAAGAGTAGGAGACATTGTTATTTCAACAGTGCAGTATAAGAAAATAACATAATAAAACCTTATCTAAAAACATACGCAACTTAAACAATTAAATCTCGTTACAAGATTTTGCCTCATTCAGTAACAGGAAGCAAACACAATTTTGAAATTGGACGTTTAATCATAGAGCCCTTACAACGAACAGTGACAACTCGCGTCAAGTTATCTCTACCCGGATGCAGCTCTACAATTCTGCCATACAACCACTTAGCTGGAGGTAAGATATCTTCTTTTATTAAAACTACATCACCTATTTTACAGTCAGGTTTACGAACATTCCACTTATGCCTTTGAAAAAAGTTAGTTAAATACTCCTGTTTCCATCTACGCCAAAAGTGCTGCACCATACGCTGTACTAATTGCCATCTGCGTAAAGTGCTAACTGTGACACTTTCATAGTTGTAGTCAGGAACCATTACCAATGGATGACCCACCAAGAAATGACCCGGAGTCAGAGGTACAGGATCCTCTGGATCACTACTACCCTGAGACAGGGGCCTAGAGTTTAGGCATGCCTCGATTTGGGAAAGTACTGTGGACAATTCTTCGAACGTCAAAGTGGAGTCACCTATCACACGCTTCAAGTGGTGTTTTACACTTTTCACCCCTGCTTCCCACAACCCACCAAAATTTGGAGCGTGAGGAGGGATAAAATGCCATTCTGTTTGAGAGTTTGCAAGAGCAGCTGCAATGTCTTTGTACATCGAACTTTGTTGGTTGAAAAGCATCTGCAACTCTTTAGCAGCACCCACAAAATTTGTACCATTGTCGCTCCAGATATGACGACAGTGACCGCGCCTAGAAACGAACCGTTTGAACGCTGCCAGGAAACCCTCAGTCGTCAAATCTGAAACAACCTCTATGTGTACTGCGCGCGTAGCCATACACACGAACAAACAGATGTACCCCTTATACGACCGCTGTCCACGACCTTTGGAGACTCTAATGTGAATAGGGCCTGCATAATCGACACCGGAGTTCAGAAACGGCTTACTGGGAGTCACTCTGCAAGCCGGAAGCTCTCCCATAAGCTGTTGATTCGTAGTCGCCGAGTATCGAATACAGGGAACACAACGACGTATATGAGCTCGAACAATATTTTTAACCCGACTGATCCAGTACTTGATGCGTATAAAATTGAGTACCAGTTGCTGTCCTCCATGAAAGGTCTTTTCATGAGCGTCGGCTACAATTAACTTAGCCAAACTTGAATCATGAGGAATAACAACTGGGTGCTTTGTATCATCCAGTAATGGTGAATACCGTAGCCTTCCTCCAACTCGCAATATCCCACATTGGTCGATAAATACATTTAACTTATATAAAGAACTCGACTTTTCCAATGGACTCTTATTCTTCAGGGCTATCAATTCAGCCTGAAACCATTGCTGTTGACTTTGTTTGATACATACATTCAACGCTTCGTGAATTTCGGAAGCTGACAGGTATTGTGCAACCTTAATATTTGCTTTACGAAGTTTTAATGACTGCAAGAACCTTTTACAATACGCAACAACTCTCACCAAACGTGAAAGTGATGAATACTTGGAACCCCAAATGACTTCAAAATCAGGCGCTACGCTGGCAGTGTGAACATTAATTTGCTTTAGCTCCTCATTAGTATGAATGGCACTAGGCCGGGTGTAATCAATCTGAGCATTCCTTAACCAACCTGGTCCATGTATCCAAAGATCATCGCCAAGGAAAAATGCCGAAGACACTCCCCGCGAAGCTATATCTGCTGGATTTTCTTTAGATTTAACATAAGCCCACTGCGAATTGTCTAGCAAACCAAGAATCTCAGAAGTGCGATTAGCCACGTAAGTTTTCCACCGACTTGGGTGATCATTTAACCAGGCCAAAACAACTGATGAATCCGTCCAAGCATGTATATTTGCCTTAGGAATGTTCATTACTTGAGCTACATCAATCAATAATTTTGCTACTAAAACAGAACCGCACAATTCCAGCCGTGGAATGGATATTTGCTTGATAGGAGCTACCTTTGTCTTTGCGGTTATGAGGTGAGAGTGTATTTGCCCATTAGCATCGACAATGCGACAATACACTACAGCCGCATAAGCTATATTTGACGCATCGCTAAAGCCATGTAACTCCATTGTAATATCTTTTTCCCTTTTATGTATCCATCTAGGAATGTGAAAGTTTACCAGTTTCTTTAACTCTGATCTATAATATGTCCATTCTTGTAAGAGATTTGGTGGCAGTTCATCGTCCCAGCCGATTCCACTAATCCATAGCTTTTGTATGAAAACTTTCGAGGTTATAATGCACGGTGCTATCCAACCCAACGGATCATAAAGCCTTGATATCTCTGATATAACTGTCCTTTTTGTTTCAGTTGCAGCAGGAGTTGACATCTTCACAGAATAATCAAATTCATCAGTGTTCCGATTCCAGGTAAGTCCTAAAATCTTAGTTATACTATCCATTTTTATTTCCAGGTCTCTACCAGAAGTTTCCTTCAACGTTTCCAAAATGGATGGTCTATTGCTTGTCCACTTTTGCAATTGGAACCCCGCTTTCTCTAATAGACAATTCATTTCATCATAAATTATTTTTACTTCTGTTTCAGATTGACACCCAGTCATCAGATCGTCCATATAAAAGTCTGACTTCACTCTTTCAGCAGCCATTGGATACCTCTCGCCTTCATCGCACGCAACTTGCTGCAACGACTTTACAGCCAAGTAAGGAGCGCATGACGTACCAAAGGTGACAGTCAGAAGTCGGTAATCCTCGATCTCTTTGTTTGGATTCTCTCTCCAAACAATTCTTTGATAATCTGTATCAGGTCGAGCGACCTTGATTTGGCGATACATTTTGACGATATCGGCAGCCAGACAGATCGGATGTTGACGCCATCTCATGACAATATGTCGCAAATCTGCCTGAAGAGTGGGTCCTACCATTAAGGTGTCATTTAAGGAAACCCCGTTCGTTCCCTTACATGACGCGTCATAAACCACTCTTACCTTAGTGGTTAGTTTATCCTGTCTAACCACTGCGTGATGAGGTAAATAAACAGCATCGGTTTTATTTATTTCAGCCTCATCAACGATTTTCTCCATATGACCCAGCAATAAATACTCTTTTATTACATCAGCATACTGTTGTTTTAATTCATCATCCCTACCCAGCTTCCTTTCTAAACCTAGCAATCTTTTTACAGCTATATTTTTAGAATTACCGTATTTACAAGGTGGATCTTCGGAACGAAAAGGTAATTTTACGACATATCTCCCATTGACATCTCTAACTGTCGATTGTGCGTAAAACTCTTCGCAGGCCTGTTCTTCAGGCGTGAGAAGCTTTTTCGTTATAGCAGGTTCAGAATCCAATTCCCATAAACGTTTTAACATATCATTCTCTTCTATTTGAGTGTACATCGTGATAATAGTATTATGAGAGTTTAGAGATCTATCTGCCTTACTGACATAGCCTGACACAATCCAACCTAAATGCGTGTCTTGTGCGACCGGAGAGCCTGTAGGACTCTTGATCAGACCTTCCTTTAAAATACGGCAGTATACTTCCCCCCCTAATAAAATATCAATTTTATTAGAACGACTGAAATTTGGGTCGGCTAGACGTATGCTGTGAATTTCTGGCCAATTGTCAAGGTTGACATTCTTATCTGGCATAACCGATGTCAGTGAACGTAGTACATGCGCAGTTACGTTTATGGTATAAGAGGAATCATGCAACGATTTAATATCAATATTCACTACATGTTTAGAAATGATCTTGCTATGGTCACCTCCTATACCTGCAATAGTAGTCTTTGAGACTACTCTCCTTAAACGCAGTAATTGCGCAGCTGACTCAGTTATAAAGGATGCTTGTGATCCTTGATCCAACAAAGCTCTCAAAACCTGAGAGGACCCATTTTGTGATTCGGCTTTAACCAAAGCCGTGGCTAACAGTACTTGACCCTGCGTTTGTTCATTCACAAAATGAGATGCTATACTTACCTTGACATCATGGACTGGCTCTGAAGTACATCCAAGTTCAGGGTGAATAGGTTCCCCTGACGCAGCAACCCCAATGGCTTCACTATGGTTCTTCGGATGTAGCAGCGTATGATGTTTGCGCTGACAAATACGGCATTTAGAAAGAACACGGCAGTATTTAGAAGTATGATTACTTCCCAAGCAATTGAAACAGACACCCAAAGATTGTGTTACGGCACGACGTCCGTCCACATCTAGTTGGCAAAACTTCTTACAATTTAAGAGTTTGTGACTCTCAGAACAGTGTGGACATAACTTATTAGTCGTACCGTGCATGACCTTAGTGTGAGATGTAGGATGATGATCGACTTTTAATTTATGTTTAGGTTCAACGCATTCGAGAGCACGAAAACGTGTTTCCAAAAACTCGCAAAACTGTTTAAAGGAAGGTAGATCGTCGGATGACTTACTAACATGCAGTTCCCACTGCTTCCTAGATTCTACGTCCAACTTCAAGCTTGCAACATAAATAATAATAACATCCCAAGAACTAACATCAATGCCAATATTAGTGAGTTCGTGCAAACAATCACTCGTCACATCAAGTAAATCTTTTAGTGCCTTTGATGACTCGTTTACAATATTACGTTGGCCAAATAGTCGGTTTAAAATACATGTGGATACAAATCTCTTATTATTATACCTATGTTCTAACATTTCCCAGCATTTTATATAGTTTAAATCAGTTATAGGTACATGTTTTATAAGCTGCTCCGCTTCACCTGACAGTTGAGTTTTTAAATAGTGGAGACGTTGAACATCATCAAGTTTTTTATTGTTGTGTACTAATGACACGAACAAATCCCGGAATGACGACCACTCTGTATATTTTCCGCTAAAAGTAGGCAAAACTATTTTTGGCAATCTTACCACACTGCTGTCAGATGAACCATCGCAACCTTCCTTCCTGGAGCTGTGAACTTTTAATTGGGACAAAACATTTTTTAATTCTACCTTGTACATTAAATAACACTCATAAACCGTCTCATAGATATCTTCCTGGAAAAAGTCCTGTAATTCTTCACTTTCGCAATCACCTACGATGACTTCATATTTCGCAGAAAAATTCTTGAATTGGGTCTCTAACATCTCTAAACGTGCATCGACATAATTGTAGTTTATCCGATCTCTCGGGGACTTCTTGTAATTTATCCAGCCCTTTTCAATTTGTAATTTGATATCTTTCAGCTTTCTTAGTTCTTTCTCCATGTTGTTTGTATTCATGAAAATATTCTAAGTCCAGTGAAAGATAGATGAAAATTCTCTAAGTGTCGCTGACAGTTGACAGTTGACAAATTTTCCAAGTCCAAACTAGAGAGAATTTTTCTAAGTGTTTAATACTTGTAGATCGCTTCGAAATAGGGCATAGATTCGACGTCTGGTCGTTTTTCTCGAAACTATTCTAAGTCCCTGATCGATTGCACGCGGATTTTTCTAAGTCCCTAGTTTTAATAATTTGAATGTACTCACAGTTCTTTGTCCACAATTATGCACTTCACTTCACTACTCACGAGCTCCAAACGAAGTTCACCGATGATTCCCGATGTATGTCCTCGGCAGCTGAGCACATAGTCTTCCACGTGTAGTATTGTTAACCGACAACTATCACCATCTCGTATCAATTAGCACAACTATATTTAATTATGTGTGTTCTTCCATAAACACCCTTCGGCTCGACTGGACCATGAACAATTTCGGCCGAAATTCCTTTGAAACCTGTTACTTGAAATAATACGAAGTACCTCAGAGCAAGACAATTTATTTACGTCAAAGCAGACAACCTAATGTTTTGCCGGTAACGAAACCATAGCTTGAATTTAAATCGGCCAACGCCATCTATCGAGCTATGGGACAACACAATAAATAGTAGTATGGCGTTGGCCGAGTGCATCTTTTATAAAGATTATTTCTACACTGAACACTCTGTATAAGCAAACATATACCTATAATATGTAACAAAAACCCTGTTGTTCCTTTCAGGGTCATATACGTTTATCTAAATCGCATTATTAATGAAAATATAATTACAAAAAAAATCATTGGCTAGTCGGTATCTATTAAAATGTACGCGCGGCGTGCGGCGCGCCGCGTAGCGACACTGGTTACAGAGATTGGCGGTAACGTTGTACTCATGTGTCTATATGCATGCCGATTCTTAAAACGTAGGTAGAAGGAACAACAGGGTTTTTGGTACATATTTTATAGTAGTATACTGCATTATGGGTACTGTGAGGTTCAGCAGTTGGAGAAATAAAACAACGGAATAGAGAATACAGATTACAACGTATATTGACTCCAAAGTGTCACTGGTCGAGCTCGGCCCGGCCGCGTCACTGGTCGAGCTCGGCCCGCCCGCGTCACTGGTCGAGTTCGGCCCGCCCGCGTCACTGGTCGAGTTCGGCCCGCCCGCGTCACTGGTCGAGTTCGGCCCGCCCGCGTCACTGGTCGAGCTCGGCCCGCCCGCGTCACTGGTCGAGTTCGGCCCGCCCGCGTCACTGGTCGAGCTCGGCCTGCGTCTCCAGCAGCAGCTGCGCCAGCGAGTGGCGCGCGCCCACGTCCAGCGTCGCGAACTGCACCTCGCGCAGGCGGCGCGCGCACGCACTGGCCGCGCCCCCC